AATAGCTTTTGTTTCAACTCGAAACACGTTTTTTTTCCAATTTGGCCAGAAAACCAAAAAAATTGATTATTCACACATATCACTCTATCTGTTACTGGTCCAAGATGGAAAATTGTTTGTCCTAAACCTGACTGGCATCATTTGGAGAGACATATGCCATTGTTTGGGATGAAAAATAAAAGAATATTCTTTAGCACAGCGATTCTCAGACTTTAGCAACCCGAGGCCCCCATTTTGATTTAATTTTTTTTGCGGACCCCATGACCCCCGCTCAGCCCCAGGCCCTGCTCCCCATTCCACCCCTTCCCCCAATGCCTCACACCCGCTTCACCTCTTCCCGCCCTCACTCCACCCCTGCACCACTTCTTCCCCACCCCTGAGTGCATCCCGTCCCTGCTTCTCCTCCCCCTCTCTCCCTCAATTCCTCCTGCTCCCTCGCAGCACCTCCTGCATGCCGCTGAATAGCTGTTCAGCGGCATGCAGGAGGTGCTGGGAAGGAACAGAGATGGGGCACGCTGCGGGAGGGGGTGGAATTATGTCCGGGGCCGCCAGCCCCACGGATCAACTCCTCCCTCTCTGATTTCATCTCCTCCCTCCCAGTGCCTCCTGTACGCCTGGGAACAGCTGTTCAGCGGTGTGCAGAAGGTGCTGGGAAAGAGAGGGAAGAGCGGGGATGGAGTGAAGTCAGGGGAGGGGGCGGAATCCTGTCCGGAGCCACTGCCCCCACTGATCAACTCCTTCCCCTCCCTCCCAGTGTCTCCTGCATGCCGGGGAACAGTTGTTCCCCAGCGTGCAGGAGATGCTGAGAGGGAGGGGGAGGAATTGAGGGGAAGGAGTTGATCAGTGGGGCCAGTGGACCACCTGGAGAACTCTCGCTGATCCCCAGGGGTCCAGGGACCCCAGTTTGAGAAACGGTGCTCTAGCAGGTTGATGGAAGTTTTATTTTGTTTGGTTTGAGGTTTTTTTGTTTGGTTTGTTTTGAGATTTTTTCACTTTTTTTGGTCAGCCATTTATTTTTCATTTGGTTCTTTTGAAGCTGCTTTGGGGGTTGGAATTTTCAAGCAGTTCTGACAGAGATAGACTAATTGGTGAAATGCAGGTGTAAGAGAAATGTAATTTATCTGTGTGGCTCTGCATTTTTATCACCAGGCAGTTGTCACTACGTATTTTATGTGTGTATGGGCACTAGTGTCATCTCATTAATACAGAGTAAAAACAGGCATCACAAACTTCAACCCCAGTCTTTAAGCTCTTCCCAGCCCTTTCTTGGTACGCTCTCTTCATTTTCTTCTTAAACTCCCTGCTTCTCACCATCTTTACTTTACCCCATTTCCCATACACTAAGAAGAGTGTCCAACTTCTTGTTCTCCAGAGATCCTCTACTAATTTCTTCCATAAATCTTTCCTGCTATATTCTATTCCTTAAGAATTTCTCCACACTCTCTTCAACCATAGCAATTTACTCTGTCTCATATTTGCTTCTTTTGTCAGTCTTAGATTTTAAGCTCTTTGGGGTCAGGAACATGTGTAGAGCACTGCATGAATTCGCAGTATTCTGTAAATGATTATTAATAATATATCTAGGTTAACTCTCTCACCATGAATTAAATTACCTCACTATAAAGTGATGTAGCACAGCATTAATTAAACTTAGCTCAAGCTTCAGTCATATGGCTGATTTTTTTTTTGAAGTGTAAATGATTAATGCTGTTTTACAGTATTTGATTCTGCCTCTCTGTGTTTTTATCTGTGTGTGGCTCTGTGTAGTTTGTGTATTTAATATAGAGGTTGTGTTCTAAGATTATTAAATAGTTATTGTCTGATCCTGATAGGTGCAGTTCACCTGTACTATACTTTGACGTCAAGTCAGTAAACGTTACGGGTGCTCAGCATTTTTCAGGCTCAAGACCTTTTGTGTGTGTGTGTGTATGGGCACATACATATATCAGAATCTCAATCTTTTTAGTTCAGCTGGAATTCCAGATCTAAAAATTTTTATGGCTACCAAATTCTTTAAAAAAACGTAATGATTTGGAGGCCTGTCTGCTACTTTAGCGGGTGGAAATTTTTAGCAACTGAGGAACAGTGTTCAGAAAACCCAGAACTCAAGACATCTGAGATTTACTTTCTCAGTATTGGTTGGAGAGTACTGAGAATATGGGCAGTAGAATCATAGAATCATAGACTGTCAGGGTTGGAAGGGACCGCAGGAGGTCATCTAGTCCAACCCCCTGCTCAAAGCAGGACCAATCCCCAACGAAATCATCCCAGCCAGGGCTTTGTCAAGCCTGACCTTTAAATCTTCTAAGGAAGGAGATTCCACCACCTCCCTAGGTAACGTATTCCAGTGTTTCAGCACCCTCCTAGTGAAAAAGTTTTTCCTACTATCCAACCTAAACCTCCCCCACTACAACTTGAGTAGTTCCCCTTACAATCAAGAATCCCTTAATAAGGGATCCAAAGGGTATTTCTGAAATTTTCTAGCCTCCTAACATAAAGCTGGAGTCATTCACACAGTGAAATTCGGGCTGAAGAATGACAGTCCAGAAATAATTGGTTTGGCTCAAGATGACCAGCCAAAACACATTTTTTTAAGCAGAGAGGGATAGGTTCTCCAGAGGATTTAGGGCTGTGGTACTCAACCTATTTTTCATGGGGCCCACAATGTGTTACCTGGGCTGCAGGTTGAGAACTACAGTGCTCCCCCGCCCCGAGCCTTCCCCTACAGACCCGTATGCCCAGTGCCTCCCACGTAGAGACCTCTCCACAGAGTGGGGCCAGGAGCGGAGCCCTGGGCGGGGTACTGGGCAGCACGGAGGCAGCCTGGACCCCAACCCCACTGCGCCTGGCAGCAGGGAACCCGGATCTGGCCATGCGGGCCTGGCAGCGTTTAGCACACAGTTGGGCCGTAGCTGTGTGCCAGTTGGACTGCATGCTGGCCACAGCTTGGGGGCCTGATTTAGGGCCTAAGTCTGACATTTACTTGCCATTGAGATACTCAAAACCACCGCTAACCTGCCGCCCACCTCTGTAGGTGCCTGAATTTCCATCATTACAGTCCCCTAGGGCACCTACATTTCTGCCAGGGAGCATGCACACAGCTGTCGCATTCTAGGCACCTATCTCATGCCGAAGCCCCAGCAGGATGCTCAAACTAGGTGTTCCCCTGCTTATCTTGCCTGTGGAATCCAATCTAGTAGGCATTCTCAGCGAACACCTAAACCCACACAAAACAGCTGCTGGTGGTGCCCTTTTAACTTTTTGCCCACTGGTTAGAACACTCAGCTGGGATGTAGTAGATCCAATTCAATTCTTCATTCTGCCTTATGTGGAGAAGGGATTTCAACGTAGTTCTTCCCCCTTCCAATAGAGTGCCCTAATTACTGTGTTAGGGTGTAGTCTGAGGTAGGCTTCTCTCGATCTGTCCTGTTGAAGCTGTGCTGCTTTGTATAATTAACTAGGCATTGGAGAACAGGGACTGGGTCTCCTACCTCCTAGGTGAGTGCCCTAACCACTGGACTGTAGTGTCATCCTCTCTCACTGTCTCTCCCAGTGTGCATTTAAGCAATTATACACAGCTCAACAGGAGAGACTGAAAGAAACCTGCCCCAGAATACATCATAGCACAATGGTTAAGGTAATCTTCTGAGACAGGGAAGACCCAAGTTCCTTATTTGCATCAGACAGTGAGGAAAATTGAATGTGGGTCTCTCACAATCTGGTTAAGTGCTCTAACCAGTGGGCTGAAAGATATAAGGGGACCACAACCAGCACCTATTTCTCTTTTACCTATGCACTGTACAGGGAGCCTAGGTGCCTAACTTGGGGCTGTGGATTCCTCTGAGCAGTAAGGTGCCTAAAAGTTAGGTGTGGTAACATGAAAAGGAGTACTTGTGGCACCTTAGAGACTAACCAATTTATTTGAGCATAAGCTTTCGTGAGCTGTAGCTCACGAAAGCTTATGCTCAAATAAATTGGTTAGTCTCTAAAGTGCCACAAGTACTCCTTTTCTTTTTGCGAATACAGACTAACACGGCTGTTACTCTGAAACGTGTGGTAACATGTTAGTCCCTCCGTTAATCTAGCTCAAAGTTCTTATGTATGCCTTTGAACTGAATTGTAGGACCAGAAATTTCCACATTTAGTCTTTAAAAATGCAGTGAACAAAAATGCTTTATTTAGCTTTTTTCCATTATCTCTTTCATAAAATAGAAATATAAAAATCCTGACTGAAAGCATTATCAATTCAAATAGTATGTCAAGGCTTATCAGTCTTCCAAATTGTATGTATTGAGCAAATCCATTTTCACATACTTTCACCAAAACAAAAAAGGAGGAAACTGATTACATGATCCATTCTCATGTCTAATAAAATAGCGGTATGCATTTTTGACAAGCTTATACTGAACCATACAGATGGAAAATTCCAGTTCTCTATTCTCAGCAGGAAAAGTTGGCTTTTTAAGAAAATCTTTTTATTTCATGACTGTCACCCAGCATAGCAATTACAAACAAAATGGAGGTGACAAAAATGAAAACTCAGCTGGCTTAATTCTATGAAGTGTTTGTATTTCCATAGAGCCAGTCTTTGCTCAGTTATTTGATTTGAAAAATTAATCCTGATAATGCCTTTTGAGTTCCTTAAGTACTGTTCACTATTTTTCTAGGATGAGTTCTACAGAACAAAGACTAACAGATTTCTACAGCAGATTAGTTTACAGATGAAGCTCAATTCTACTGAGAATGATTCTCTAACGACCCCTTTTTATTTCCTTTGGGCTATGTGAATGCTTTAATATTGAGAGAACAGAGTTCAGTAAATATATTGTCTCAAACGGTTAGTTTATGCAGTCCTCCTGAAATGTTTTAATTATTCCTTTTTTTCCATAATTAAGAAATCAGAGGTCAGGAAAGCCAACTGAGAGCTGATCATAGCTTCTGTATTAGTTTAAAGGAACCCCTAATAACATGAGTTGTTGTTTTTCTCATTTGCTTTACAGAACAAGAAGAGTGTGTTAATTGCACAGATGAATGCAGAGTGCTCGGTCATTCTGACAGGTGTTGGATGCCACAGTTCCCTACAAACAATCAGGCTGAAAATGCAGATTATCGCACAAATCTCTTTGTACCCACAGTTGAAGCTAACGTTGAGACTGAGACTTACGAAACTGTGAATCCCACCGGGAAAAAGACTTTTTGTACATTCGGGAAAGACAAGCGAGAGCACACTATTCTCATTGCCAATGTTAAACCTTATTTAAAAGCCAAACGTGCCCTGAGTCCTCTTCTTCAGGAGGTTCCCTCAGCATCGAGCAGCCCAACCAAGACATGCATTGAGCCTTGCACCTCAACAAAAGGACCACTGGATGGTTGTGAAGTGAAATCAGGAGCCTTGGCTGAATCAAGCAGCCAGTACTTGTCAACTGACAGTCAGTATCTATCACCTAGTAAACAGTCAAGAGACACTCCATTCATTGCATCAGATCAGATGGCTAGGGTCTTTGCAGATGTACATTCCCGAGTGAGCCGAGACTCAAGTGAGATGGACTCTGTTCTGGAGCAGTTAGACCGTTCAAATCGGGATCTAGGGAGAGAGTCAGTGGATGCAGAGGAAGTTGTGAGAGAAATTGACAAGCTTTTACAGGACTGTCGTGGAAGTGACCCTGTAGCTGTGAGGAAGTGAAAAAAAAAAGTGTAGGCTGGCACTTACTTGCCTCTTCTGCTTATCTGGAAAAAAAAAAGATCGCCCCTGGTTATAACAGTTTTACAGGGATGAAGGAAGACCAATGCTGCTTTAAGGCTTTTAGTGAACGTCTGAAGTGCCCACAAGTATGTTCTTTTCACTGCTCTTTCTTTTTCACATAAAATACTGGTTTCATTTTGACCAAACTTTCATTAGGACAGTGTGAAGTACATTAAGAACCAAGAGAAAGAAGGAAAGACAGTGCCATTTTGACAATCTGATAGGAAGGTATGAGAAATGAGGAATAGAACTACGTCTGATATTTTAAGACTGTCCTCAATAGTTGATGCTGACTTTACTGTTTACCTATAAACCCCATGAAAAGCAGGGTTGAATCATTCTGATCTGTGGTGGATTTCCAGCAGTCACCACAGGCTTCTACTGAAAGTCCTAAAAAAGATTTTGTAGTAGTCCAAGCTACACCAAACATTAACATTCATTTGTGGTAAACATTTCTGTATAAAATTATCTGCCACAAAAATGAAACAAAAACACAAAAAACAAAAATCATTCCAGATCATTATTCAACAAAACATATCCTGGTCATTAGTAACACAACTCATATCATATTAAAGTTAAATGTAAAATGATATAGTCCATTTTGTCCTGCACACACATAAGCTAATTCACTTGATAAAAAGGAAAAAAAAAGGTTTTAATGCCTATTTAGCATTTTAGTGTCCAACAAAAATATAAATAGTTAGCACTAAGTTAGAAACAAACCTGAGGTATAATACAAGTTCGCAAAAATAGTTACCTTTGAAGGGTAATACGTGAAACAAAATAACATTATTAACACGTTTTTATTAATTTGTGGACACTAAAATAGCTCAGGAAAGTGAAAATGTCTTAGACATCTACACAAATCACATGACCATTTAAATGTGCAAATGTAAGAAGATTCAATGTGTTTACATCAAATGACATATTTTTATTGATTTATTGCAGATTCAGTGCATATGAGCCAAATCGTTGAGTGTATAAGAGCTATATTGTGTATTTTATTAAATTAATATATAGTTGTGTTGCAAAAATATTTGGGCTTATATTGTAAATGGCAAGTGTTGCCTCAGTAGCTGTCGAACTCTATGAGTTTTGTTTTCTCCTGCTTCCTTTTCCCCATGGAGTGTGGGAAGCAGAGCCTCAGAGCAAAGTCTCTTGTTTAATGTATGGTCTACAAAGTACTTCAGTACATAATCTGTTCAGAATGTGTTTGAGTGAGCTGATGGAGCTAACTGAACGGCCTACAAATACAACTATCAGTCATGGTTATGTGCAAATCCTTCTATTGCAAACCTATGTTTAATAACAAAAATTACACTTGAACCAACACCTGAAACCTCCTTGTTTTTTTCCAAGCACATATGCAGACAGTCTGTTAGGTAACACATTCTTGGTTGAAATCACAACTGATCCTAATATTTAATGTTTTATGCTACTGTTAAGTTCCTCGAGTATAAAAATGTGTCAGAGCCTGTGTGGTAAAGCGCTGTTTTTTCTGGTTTCTTGGAAAGTGCTATGGTTTACAAAGGTTCTGGGTGCAGGCTGCTTATTTTTTATTTGTTTTTTTAACTATTATTTTAAGTTGCTTTGTTACCGCCTTGGAATAATTTACAAGAGAATGTCTCTCTCTCTCTCTCTTTCTCTCTCCCTCCTCTCCCCCTCCCCCCTTTTAACGTCAACCCTTTAGAGAGTTTGGCAAACTTCAAAATGGCTTCTAGATGAAAAGCTGAAAAAATACACATTTAAATATTCCCTTAAAATGAAACTAGCACAAGCACAAGAAGCAGCAGAGGAAAAGTTTAGACTAAAATTTTCCTCTAGGTATTTTAAATACTCTCTATGACATAGCACCATGAAACACAGTGATAAAAAATTGTTGATCTGCATTACACTAAATTTAAACTGTCATATTTTTAAATGTATTTAAAAGAGTGAATTTAATTCAGGTTGGCCATTTCAGATCCCACAAGGCCGTACTTAAATAATATTCATCAGTTCAAGAAACAGAGTTGACCAACATCTGGCTGTGATGTTGTGTATTCCGTGATAAAGGTGTTCTCATCTAGTCAGACCTACAATGAATTGTCTTTGGTTCTTGAAAAGCAGCCATTACAAAAGTTTGCTCTCAGCTTCCATTGTACAGAAAGTCTACAATCATATGTAAACAAAGGATATTGTACATGTTTTATCAAGCTACTCTCCATATTTTGGACAATTTGTGTATCTAAAATGTGTTGTTGTCTGTGTACTACAGTATTATTTTGCCAAGAGATTGAAAGTTGATTTTGCTTGATAGCTAAAATTCCAGAGAGGATCCCTTTTTGTTTTGTCTGTCTTTTATCCTTGTTTCCATGGTGCCCATCACTTTAGTTTATGAGCACCAAGCTTTTAGTTCAGCCAGTGAGATCCATGATTCAGATAAACCTAAATCAGTATGTAAATGCAGTCAAGTGATGGAGGCTTCTGTATTTTATAAACAATTTTAACATTCAGAAACCAATTGTACAATTCACTGTATGTGTCTGAAGACATAAAAACACAACATTTTGAGAACGGGCTGTGCCAGTGTAAAAGAAATTTACCTTAAGGCTCTCTGTCACTAGTGATTTACTAGCTTGAGCTGTTTAACACATTATCTGTATTTAGTAGTTATTATTTATTTACCAGTCTGAGGTAATTCGAAATTCATGACTCACAGCTTTAGAGCTGAGTTTAGCAAATCTTGCTTTTATATAATTTGTCCAGCAACTGCCTTGTGTTGCAGATCTTTGGCATATTGCTTCCAATGAGGCTGTCCCGGAATATGATATCTGCGTCATAATTTAGGAGTCACCTGTCACTGCTGTTGAGACATCATGATCAACTGATAAAGTTTACATGGGGGGAGGTTTTGAGGGTTAAGTTAGCATCTGTGTGATTAAGTGAAGGAGATACCACACATGGGAGAAGTAAAATATAACTGTTTATCCTTCAACCTCCTTGCAAACAACTGGAAACAACCCAGCAATTAAAACTAAAGCCCATGGATTATTTCTTGCCTTTTTTACATACATAAGGCAGATTTTAAAAGTGACTTTTAATACTAAATGAAAACTTCCACCAGACAATTGTAAAAATAATTATTGTTACAAGGGGAAATCCATTAAGCAACTAATAAAGATGTGTGAAATATGAGTGGAGAGGAATGGATGTCTATGCCACTTGTATATTAACCAAAGCAAATAATAGAGTAATATTTCCTATGATTTCCGAAAATGTTGACCAACCAAATCATAAACAACTGAATTCAAAATCAGTTAGAAAATTTACTTTTTTCTAGGCCTGTCCTACAGAAGAGAACTTCTCTTGAAATGTGATTTGCCATGAGAGCACACAGGAGATTGTCCATTTAGAAATATGACCATTAAAAAGTCATGCAGATGCTAGTGATGGAGCTCAATGCTTTATTCAAACTAGCTTTCCAGCTGTTTGTTGCCTAATGGAGTAGAAATGCTGAGGTCAACAAGTAGTCTGAAGTCTGGCATATTATACGCCCACTCATTATTGTCTAATTACATTCTTTTGACACCAGGCAGCATTTATCAGTGCATTAATTCAAATGGGAGTTTTGGCTATCAAGATTTGTTGATTTGAAGTGTAATTGAATGAAACCTGATTAAGGTCTTGACTTCTCTGGCCCCATTGTTCCACAGGTTGGCAGTTCACATTTATCAACCCTTGTCTCCCCATATGGCTAAGAGCTGCACCAAGTGATTGGTGAACAACACTACAAAAACAAAAGCAGCATACGTTGTATGGATTATCTCAACCGCTATTGTTTAATGGCTGTGTTTAATGTGACCTATCTGGAAAATGAGGACTACGAATAAAAAGCAATTACTAATAGTGGTGTTGCCTGCTCTTGCATTCATTAACAGAAAAGAAATGTGTTAAACACTGCATACCACAGGGAGCCTGATGGTAATTACTTTGGAAAAGCAACTTGTGGCAATGCGGCTGTTACAGCTAGTTAACAGTTTGCCAAAAAAATGACAGTTCCTGCTTCATTTATTAGAAATGTGTAACTGTTTTCTCTCAACAGGAAAGTGGTGAAGACTTTTCATCAAGCTGGGTACGGTTATCTTTTAAGCAGCTGATGTGATGAAGCCCTACAGGCTATTATTACAACAGTATAGAGCTTCAGTAATAGGACTTTACTATACTGTTTTACTATACTGAAGTGAACTCACTAGAAGTATTATAAATGAGGGTCTCAGTTCTCAAAGGCTGTCAGCCTAAGAAGAAAGATCAAATCACTGCTCAAGTGTACAAGTGGAAAAATAATCCAAACGATGTAGGGTTTTTGGTGGTTGTTTTTTTTAAATCTTTCTCAATGTCCTGGGTATCGGAGGTAAGTAATCTCTATTCCTATTCTGCTGTAAGCAACTTGACAAAACAATGGGGAAAAATGTGACTAAGTATTAAGTCTGGCTGCTTGAGTTGTTAACAAAATATACAATCTTAACTAGCCTGTAACTTGTTCAGTTTTTACATCAAGATGAATTCACCAAACGATGTTCCAAAGGGCTTTTTTAAAGTGCTCTAATTTGAAGTCTTCTGTGGTTACCCATGTGGCATAATGATAATAGGTTGATATATGTGGAGCTGTGGAGAAGTTACTTCCACAAATTTTCAACCAACAAGAAAATAGTTTTTGCTTTTGACAGATTCATATTTAGATCATTCAGGATACTGCAGGTATTAGGGAGATATTTGTAAATACCCAGCTTCTAGCTCATGGTTAGTCTAACATGATCTTTTGTCCTTTTCGGTTCTGTATTACCAGAGGCTGACCTTTACAGTCCTGCAGGCAAGAGGCTATTCATCCCATATCTTCTATAGCTCTATTATGCATAAACAAAACCATCCTGCATCTAATTAGCTGACTACCCTGCACACAGAAAACGCCTATTGTTTTCTTCTCTGCTTTCTGCTGCATATGTTTGTCTTCCCAAAGGCTGCATTCCAAAATCCAGCAAGCCCTGTCCATGCAGAATCTTGCCAGAATGTACCTTATGCTCCTGAAGTCCTTGTTTGACGTGCTGGTTTGCTGTCATGAACTCTGCATAATTCAGAGCTTGGCTGGATACATAGTATTGGTAGAACAAACAGGAATAAACCATCCCAGCTTCCCTTTACCCCAGAATACAGTGTCATTGATTTCTCATTTGCAAAGTGGCCAGTCTGTTGCATAAAGATTCTTAGATCTCCACTAGGCCAATCACATATAGCTGCTTTACAGTGTTCACTCATGGGACAAATATCCTGTTCTCAACCCTTATATGTCTGAGACAAGAAAGCAGCTGAAAGTATATTTCTTCACTTAGTTATATGTCCCTACAGGCAGAATTTCACTGACAGTAATGGGGAGATGGCCCTATGCAGTACATGTGTAGCCTGAACTGTAAAAGGTCAGCTTAGTATCAGTAGTGCACACAGAAATGGATCAGGAAGTTAATGAGCCATCTTTAAGCCTTTTGAGTCACATTTTCCAGGATGCTTGTGGTGTCAGAGGGATACATAGGGAGCACAAAATCGCCCTTTGTTCATTTTTTATTATTACTAATATGACCCCACTCACAATATGTTAAATTCAAGTTTAAGAGAAACATTTCCCTTCATGGTTAGGAGACAGTGTTTTCTTTCTTTCTTAATAGATACTGGAATCAATCTGTGGAGTCTATTTTAGTTTCAAAATAAAAGTACTGTTGATAGGCATGTATCTTTTCTACAGGTATTGTTGAGCAGATATGATTGGGGTGGTTTTTTATTCACACAAAAATGTAATATGTCCCCAAAGACTTTTCTGTGTTCCCTGATAAGGACAGGAACCACAGGTAGATCTTAGAGCATGGCCTGGCAGTCAACAAATTTGGGCTCTGGCTAACCTGTGGAGAAAGGGAGCAGCCAAGGACCCGCACTATTTAACAAGGAGACTATCAACTAAGTGCCTCTGCTGCCACTGTATCGCAAGGAGAGAGGGAATCTGTGACTTATCCAAGACATTCGAGCTTTTTAGGTTAAAACCAGCAGCATAATTTGCACCTGGAAACTAACTGGAAGCAAGTGCGGATGAAGCACGTTTTTAACATGCTTTCAAGAAGAACCATTCCTTAACAAATCCAGTCACATTCTGTGCTAGCTGCGGTTTCTAAAGGCTTATCTACAGGTCCCATTAGGGTGTAAATTCTAGGGCGCACTAGCATGTTGCGTCCTCGCTGGCCTATGTGGACCCTAGTGGCACATACCCATAATGTGTCCTAGCGTAGTCCTGTTTGACATGGAACTACATTAGCACACTAGGGAACTTTTATTGCACATCAGCAGGATCCACAGGGGCAAGTTAGTGCATGATATGCCAACACACTAGAATTTATAACCTTCTTTTGTGGACTAATGCATCATGTAGACAAGCCCTAAGTGGTCTTAAGAAAGTCACATGTAGAATTCTTTGCAGCAGTCCAGTCTGAAAGTGACAAAGACATGGATCACTAGGCTGAGATCTGCATCCAAAAAAAAAAATGTCACACCTTTTGGGCCTCATGTAAAAAGACCTTTTGCCCACTCCTGCTATTACCACACCTCAGCATAGTTGCCAGTAGCCACTATTATTTGTAACAATGGTTTTCAGTGTAAGTTTACATTTAATGTTTATATAGTATAAGGAAACAGTTTCACAGAAGATAACTTCTACGTCACATACTCATTTGCTCTCCAGCTGCTCCTTAGCAGTCCCATAGTGTTTCTCTCTTTTATTATAAATTTGTAGTTAAAAATGTAAAACAAAGTATACATATAAAATAATTACATTGCATAAAACAGAAGATTTATCATCATATCCATTATAAATTTACTCCAGGAGTAAGCTTTTGGGGGCAGAGAACCCTTGTCCATCTTTAGGAGCCTAAAACGCTTGTTGGCAAAACTGTTTGGTGTGCATGTTTTGTATAGTTAATATATTTTATAACTACTCAATGTAGTATAGTTCATAGTTAAATAATGAACAGTGATAAATTACAGTATCTCTGAAGTCCTATTTGAGTCTAAAATGATGTAAATAAATATTTACCATGGGACTGTTGGGAGTATAAGGTGGGAAACTGAGTCACAAGTCCACCCATTTAGGCTTAATCAATTTTTGCCTTTATTTATACAATTTGAGACAGAAGTATTGTCTCTTACAGTACCTGAACATATGTTTATAACAGATGATAAACAAATAAGTTAGTATGGGGCACAAGTTACCATAATCCCAGGCACAGAGAAGTTCTCCTGTATGTCATGATGGTCATCACTGCCTCTGATCTCTGGTCTAATCCTTCAGACCCGTTCCTTCAGTTTGTGGTCCAGGGTTTCTCTGATTTGGTCTTATTCACTTGGGGGTATTTATTCATTTCCACATTACATATTAATTAACCTTTTTCCAATAAGTGTTTAGTATATTATGCATTTGTTTTATGTGACCCGTACAATACTCATGCACAAGATTCAATTTACACAACTTTTGCTGTTTATACAATTTCCATGTCATTCTGTTTCTGTGTCACCCTGCTCCTGTGACTTCTTGTCATTACAGGGTTGTGTACTTTTTACCTAAAATCTTCCAGCACATCACCTTTGTCCTGTCAGCAATAACATCATTTTAAGCAAATCAACAAATCTATGTCAAGGGAGAAGAATTGACAAAACCACAATCATGCCAGAAGGGCATTGACCTAAGAGTGACCTCGTCTAAACTCATTCATTGTCTATTATAAATTATCATGGCATAACTAACAAAGCTCTTAATCTTACTATTTTGCAATTCTTCACTTTTATATTCCAGTATCGTAATGCTGTATGTGTATTATACCCCTTTAATCTTCTTTAACCATGGGTTTTCAAAGGCCCTTTTCACTCAAAGTCCACTTATATTTGTGAATCATTACCCCCCAAAAGTAACCCTTGTTAATTTTCCTTGTGTTGCATTTTGAGGGGTGTCTTGAGTTTTTGGCCTTAAAAATAGACTTCCCCAACAGGACTGATTCTCTATTGCCTAACATCTTGTGCCAGCCAAGTTCACAGTGTGTGTAAACCACTACTATTCTGATTTGGTAGCATTTAGCGCCCACTTGGCACAAGCTGCAAGGGTGTTGAGAATCAAGCCCCATATCATTTGATAAGGATTCATTGTAATACATCAAGAAAAGAATAGAAATGTATAGAACAAAAATAGTCCAAATGTGAAATTATTTGAATAACTTGTATTATTTTTTTTTACCAAACTGTTTTATTAGGTGTTTAGAAGACAGATAAACAAGTGTTAATAAATCTTTAACTTTGGCCACAAGATAAGCTTCTGAAAAACATCTAAGCTTTCACTTACTGTATATAAAACAAACAAAAGATCTACAATATTGTGCTAAAGATTTTATATATCATTTTAGTTTTCCAGCTGAAACACCTTTCTTAAAAGACCCATTCTTTGACCCTTAAGCTTAAAAGCAACATCTACCAAACTGGTAAATTTTAAAACCACTAAAAGGCTAAAAATCTTTGGGATTGGTATGTGTGGTGATGGTGGTGATAAAGCAAGTGGTTTGGAAGTGGTTGATGGTGGCAGTTCCTTAACACCTCTGCAGAGGAAGTGAAATGCCAGGGACATGCCATACCACTGCAGTTAGAGGTAAGGCAGGAAGGCTAGAGGACATCTGAATTAGGCTCTCATGCTTGAAGAGCTTTGCTGGAGCCTTGCCAAGCTTAATGTGGGATCAGGAATGTAAAGCTGAGACAGCTCTGCTGATAACTGGTGATTCTTTTAGTCTAAGGTGCTGTTCACATCACCGCTTGCCTGGATGAAATCCAAG